ACCCATTGTATGCGAACGTAGATTCTATCACACCTGATCATCATGAGGTGCTTCAAAACAACAGACTTTCGCAATGGTGCATACTTAGGGAGAACACTTTTATCTTGAAATTTAGTGAAGGGATCATCTTACAATGCTACCTTCGTCCTAAGCAAAATAAGATGCATAAAAAGATAAACATCACATGCAATCAAAATATGTGACATGATATGGCCATTATCATCTTGTGATTTTGATCACCATCTCCAAAGCATCGGCATGATCTCCATCGTCACTGATATGACACCATGATCTCCATCATCGTGTCATCACGTGGTCGTCTCGCCAACTATTTCTTCTACAACTATTGCTAAAGCATAGCGATAAAGTAAAGCAATTACATGGCGTTATTAGTTGACACACATGCCATACAGTAAATTAAAGACAACCCCATGGCTCCTACCGGTTGCCGTATTCATCGACATGCAATTTGTGAACCTATTACAAAACATGATCATCTCATACATCAACATATATCAGTTTTGGCCATACCACATCACAACATGCCCTACAAAAACAAGTTAGACGTCCTCTACTTTGTTGTTGCAAATAATATGTGGCTTATATGAGAAACTAGCCAGAACCATTATTACCTATGCAAAGCCACAATGGTGATAATCAAGTTGCCTTTTGACCTTCTACAAGGACTGCCTTTCTCAAATCAGTTCAACTAAAGTAGGAGAGACAGACACCCGCCAGCCACCTTATGCAATACAAGTTGCATGTTAGTCGGTGGAACCAGTCTCATGTGCGAGGACATGTAAGGTTGGTCTGAGCTGCTTCATCCCACATTACTGCTGAATCCAAATAAGACAACGGAGGTAAGCAATCTAAACATCAACGCCCACGACTTCTTTGTATTCTACTCGTGCATATACATCTACGCATAGACCTAGCTCATGATGCCACTGATGAGGAACGTTGCATGAAAATCAAAAAAATTCCTACGAATCACCCAAGATCTATCTATGAGAAGGATAGAAACAACAGGTGAGAGTGTGTTCACATACCCTCGTAGACTGTTAAGCGGAAGCGCATAGTACGCAGTTGATGTAGTCGTACTCTTCACGATCCAATCCAATGAAGTGTCGAACGGACGGCACCTCCACGTTCAGCACACGTGTGGCTCGATGACATTTCCTCCTTCTTGATCCAGCAAGCAAGGGTGGAGAAGTAGATGGGATCTCAACCAACACGATGGCGTGGTGGAGATGGTGGTGTGTAGTGCCGGCAGGGCTTCGCCAAACGCTGCCGAAACCAATCTAAGAAGAAAACGGAGTTATGGCAGAGGTAGGGCTGCGCCGGGGCGTGGGAGTTAGTGTGTCCAGCCCCTCCCTCTCCCCCATTATATAAAGGAGGCAAGGGGGAGGGCTGGGTCGCATCCCTAGCCCCTCCTCCAAGGAGGGGAGGCGGCCAAGGGAGGAGTCCTCCCTCCCCAAGGCACCTAGGGGGGTGCTGATGTCTACTACGCAACTTCATTCTTGTAGACACATTTGGGCCTCCAAGCGTAGAGATTTGTAGGACAGTAGCAATTTTCCCTCAAGTGGATGACCTAAGGTTTATCAATCCGTGGGAGGCATAGGATGAAGATGGTCTCTCTCAAACAACCCTGCAACCAAATAATAAAAAGTCTCTTGTGTCCCCAACACACCAAATACAATGGCAAATTATATAGGTGCACTAGTTCGTCGAGAGATGGTGATACAAGTGTAATATGGATAGTAGATATTGATTTTTGTAATAAGAACAATAAAAAATAGCAAGGTAGCAATTGATAAAACGGAGCACGAACGGTATTGCAATGCTTGAAAATGAGGCCTAGGGTACGTACTTTTGCTAGTGCAATCTCTCAACAATGCTAATATAATTGGATCTATATAACCATCCCTCAACGTGCGATGAAGAATCACTCCAAAGTTCATATCTAGCAGAGAACATAAGAAGAAATTGTTTGTAGGGTACGAAACCACCTCGAAGCTATTCTTTTCGATCGATCTATCCAAGAGTTCGTACTAAAATAACACCAAATAATTTCATATTCATAATACTCAATGCAACACAAAGAACCTCAAAGAGTGCCCCAAGATTTCTACCGGAGAAACAAAGACAAGAACGTGCATCAACCCCTATGCGTAGATTACCCCAATGTCACCTCGGGAATCCGCGAGTTGAGTGCCAAAACATATATCAAGTGAATCAATATGATACCCCATTGTCACCACGGGTATCCATAGCAAGACATACATCAAGTGTTCTCAAATCCATAAAAGTGTTCAATTCGATAAAACGAATCTCAAAGGGAAAACTCAATTCACAACAAGATAGAGAGAGGAAAACACCATATGATCCAACTATATTAACAAAGACCGCGATACATCAAGATCATGACATCTCAAGAACACTACAGAGAGAGATATTAAACACATAGCTACTGGTACAAACCCTTAACCCCGAGGGTGGACTACTCCCTCCTCATCATGGTGGCCGCCGGGATGATGAAGATGGCCACCGGTGATGATCTCCCCCTCCGGCAGAGTGCCGGAACGGGGTCTAGATTGGTTTTCATGGATACAGAGGCTTGCGGTTGCGGAACTTCCGATCTAGGGTTACCCCGAGGGTTTTTGGAATATTTGACGATTTATAGGGCGAAGAGGGGGTGTGGGAGGCCACCGAGGTGGGCACAACACACATAGGCGCGCCTGGGGGCCCAGGCGCACCCTGGTGGGTTGTGCCCCCCTAGGGGCACTCCCAGGTGCTGCTTTGGCCCTTTGGATGTCTTCTGGTCCATAAAAAATCCACAAAAAGTTTCGCGGTGTTTGGACTCCGTTTGATATTGATTTGCTGCGATGTAAAAAACAAGCAAAAAACAGCAACTGGCACTGTGATGGTGGTGCCTAGATGCCCACGAGCCACCGAACGACCGGTCCCCTGCGGACGTCCGCTACCTGTGTGCGTGCAGCTTCGGGCATGAGGCCCATGTACCCCTTCATTCTGCCCCTCTTTTGTACTACGACTATAAATAGACCTCTCCCTCCTTCTAGCTAGGGCAGCGTTGTGATAGCTCATTTGTGAGATAGAGCCTCGCTCATCCATCTGGATCTGCTCCTTCGAGAGAGATCGTGCCTCTATGGAGAAGATCCACTTGGATTCAAGACCCCTAACGGGAAGAACTCAAGACCTCCTCACGGAGAAGAACTGGTTACCCTATGTATCGTTCCTTGTTGGATTCGGATCGTGTATCTCTTTGTGTTTCGAGGATCTAGCACTTGTGTGATTGATCTTGTTGGTTGAGTGATTTCTCTTGTGTTTGCCCTTGTTTTCCCCTCGTTTCCCCCTCGTGTTCTTTGTGTTCTTGGTAGGATTCCCTCCAAATGTGAAACATCGGGCGTCTACGGTTCTACCCTACATCACACTGGACACTGGGTCAATAGGTTAGTCCCCACAAATGATATAAAGTTGCTATAAAATGATTGTAAAACATCCAAGAATGATAATATAACAGCATGAATACTTCATAAATTATACATACGTTGGAGACATATCAGGTGCCTTCCCCCCTTAGGAATCTTCCTCCTCCACCTCTCCTTGGCGCATGGGCCTCTTGGGGCTGGTGCCCCTAGCCCGTGTAGGCTAAGGTGCCCCCCTACAGCCCATGTGGGCCCCGGGGGCAGGTGGACCCTCGGACCCCTTTTGGCACTCCCGGTACAATACCGATAATGCCCGAAACTTTTTCGGCAACCAAAAGAGGACTTCCTATATATAAATATTTACCTCTGGACCATTCCGGAGCTCCTCGTGACGTCCAGGATCTCATCCGGGACTCCAAGCGACATTCGGTCACGAACGTACATATCCCAATACTACTCTAGCGTCACACATATATTTAAGTTTCCGGTCAATACAATTGTAGTATGAACAATAAACATTTATCATGAACGGGAAATATGAAAATAACCATTTTATTATTGCCTCTAGGGCATATTTCCAACAGATTCCACAATTGCTTATTAGCCGATGCAGTTTCCGTTGTTGTCCCCTCCTCTAGTTAGATTCAAGTGGATATTGAGATTCGGTTCGTCCGGTTGAAGAAAAATTTCACGAATAACTAGCACATCCGAGTCACCCGTGTAGTCATCAATTAGCTCCGACACCTTGCTCAGTGGAGCGGCGCCAGTTCTTCCCATAGCTGACGGCTAACGGTTGTGAAGGAAATACGGATCCATCTACAATGTGTGGCAGTGCAAGTAAAACCCATTGCGGTTCCAAACGTCTCGAATAGCAACAGAACAATAACACTCATTCTTGGCGGGCGTAGGAGAATATGAGGTGATACCGCCACTTGTATGCTCCCATCATACCAATCCGAGAAAGTAAGTTTAAATGGTTTGAAAATTTTCAAAAAAGATTATGGATGTTCACAACACATAAGTCTACAAGCCCCAAAAATTTCAGATCAAAATTCAGAGTACACATAGAGAAACAAAAAAGACAAAACCGAATGTGAATATTGTAGGTTTTGACACTGTTCATGCTTTTGTCTTTATTGACCCTATTATGTTGAATTTGTCTTTTATGTTTCTCTACCTGTACTTTGAATTTTGCATCTGATTTTTTTAGGGATTGTAGACACGTACGTTGTGAACATCCGTAATTGTCTTTAGTTTTTTAAAACATTTAAATTTAATTTTTCCAAATTAGTATCACGGGAGCATACAAGTGTGGTATCACATGATGTTCACCCGAGCGTCATGCACTTCCCTATAAATACGGGCGGTCACAAACACGATTCAGAACTCATCTCGAATGTACACGATGAAGCACGCCCACACCTAAGCCGGTGCAAGCTCGATCGCACACTTCAGTAGTTCCCTACACGCAGTACGTGCTGCTTCTCTAGCAGCGTATACCTAACACATCGTCGTCACCGCCGTACTCTCTCACTCACGCGCGGTCCGCCGGCGATGGCGGGTAGGACGTTCGTGGACGCTGCGGTGCGCGCCATGCAGGAGTACGTGCGGGTGTCCGACCTGGCCCTAGCCGCCGCGGTGCTCTTCGCGTGCAACGCCGCCACGACCCGCCTGAAGTCGCGGGGCAGACCCATGCTGTGGCCGGTGTTCGGCATCATCCCCACCCTCTTCGCACACCTCGACAACATCTACGACTGGGGCGCCGCCGCGCTAGCTCGCTCCGGGGGCACGTTCCCGTACCGCGGCATGTGGGGCGGGGGCTCCTCGGGCGTCATCACGTCCGTGCCGGCCAACGTCGAGCACGTGCTTAAGACCAACTTCTCCAACTACCCCAAGGGGCCCTACTACCGCGAGCGATTCGTGGAGCTGCTCGGCGACGGCATCTTCAACGCCGACGGCGAGGCGTGGCGCGCGCAGCGCCGCGCCGCCACGGCTGAGATGCACTCGGCGCAGTTCCTCGAGTTCTCGGCCAGGACCGTCGAGCAGCTGGTACACGGCCGGCTGATGCCGCTGCTGCAGCAGCAGCAGAGCCAGGGTGGCGTGACCGTGGACCTCCAGGACGTCCTCCTCCGGTTCACGTTCGACAACATCTGCGCCGCAGCGTTCGGGGTGGACGCCGGGTGCCTCGCGGACGGCCTCCCCGACGTGCCGTTCGCGCGCGCCTTCGAGCGCGCCACGGAGCTCTCCCTCGCCCGGTTCGTCACGCCGCCCTTCGTCTGGAAGGCCAAGCGGCTCCTCTGCGTCGGTGGCGAGCGACGCCTCGCGGAGGCCGCGCGCTCCGTGCGGGAGTTCGCCGAGCGGACCGTCTCCGAACGCCGCACCGAGCTGCGCAAGCTCGGCAGCCTGCAAGGCCGCTGCGACCTCCTCTCCCGCCTCATGTCCTCCTCGACGGGCCACTCCGACGAGTTCCTCCGCGACTTCTGCATCAGCTTCATCCTCGCCGGGCGCGACACGAGCTCCGTCGCGCTCGTCTGGTTCTTCTGGCTCCTCGCGTCCCACCCCGAGGCCGAGTCACGCGTCCTTGACGATGTGCGGGCCGCCCACGGCGACGTCGGGAAGATGGACTACCTCCACGCGGCGCTGACGGAGTCGATGCGCCTCTACCCGCCGGTGCCCGTGGACTTCAAGGAGGCGCTCCAGGATGACGTGCTCCCGGACGGCACGGCGATCCGCGCGCGCCAGCGGGTGATCTACAACACGTACGCGATCGGACGGGACCCGGCGGCGTGGGGAGAGGATTGCCTGGAGTTCCGCCCGGAGCGGTGGATGAAGGGCAGGGATTTTGCTGGCGGCGCCGAGAGCCCGTTCAAGTACGTGGTGTTCAACGGCGGGCCGAGGCTGTGCGTCGGCAAGCGGTTCGCGTACACGCAGATGAAGACTCTGGCGGCGGCGGTGCTGGAGACGTTCGCGGTGGAGGTGGCGCCCGGGCAGGTGGTGAAGCCCAAGCTCAACACCACGCTGTACATGAAGAACGGCCTCATGGTGAGCTTCAGGAGGAGGGAGCAGCAGCACGTCCATTGCACCACCGTAGCTGGTACGTATCAACTTTCAGTCATCTCGTATTCTCGTATGAGCACCCAAACAAACTGATTTATCACCAAATTTAATTTAACTAGAGTTTATTTTCCTGATTTTGGGATGGAACAGCGCAAGAATGATGGAAATCTCATCATGCCCTGCTTTGAACAGAAGTAAACTTAAAGGAACGGAATGTGGTACAGATCTCTGAAGGTTCGGTTTCAACCATGCAGGCAAATGTGATCAAGACGTTCGAGACGAGTGTATAATTACTGCTACATATATTGCCTCTACTTTTTTTAGGGAAATATTACCTCTACTTTATACGTATTTCTCTGCTCCCCTCTCCACGTATGTGTGCTCCTTGTGCTTTTCACGAATTATCGCATCCACATGCAGCGTTGTGCATTCCGTCAACTCGGTTCGGTAAATACTGTTTCTCGTTAAATATGTTGCTATACATGAATTTGGCAAATATTGTATTGATTTGGAATTCAATTTGAGTTTGATATACAGACTATTCATCGCTCGGGGTGAAGAATTATAATCCTTCACTCCCTCTTTACATCAATGCAACTTATGTTTACATCATTTAGTTCTTTTATTACACTGGGAGTCAAACGAGAATGTAAGGAAATATATACCAGTGTCAAAAAAATTGATTTGTAAACTTATGAATGTAAGAGTATATCATAAAATATACATAAAAATATCTTGTGTGATCTTATGAATTATATTCTGTTTTTATGCCAAATTTAACAAAGTGAATCAATTTGAACGTAACTATCTGTATAGCAAACACAATTCTTAATGAAACACCGTAAGAAAACCTCGGATGCAAACTAACTTATTCTGCACCAAAGCTCAGACAATTTAAAATGAGGCAATGATACCTTAGTTTTGTTGGTGTATTTGCTAACAAAATAACCTCGGCGGACACTAAGAAAAAGCAAATTAAACATATTAGATCAATAACATAATTAGTTTCCATGGCACTTAAAATCGAGTCCGCAAGACACAAAGTAGGCATAAAATGGCCTCTCCCCCCACCAGGAAAACCTATATCGCCTCCTCGCCTCTCACCACTAGGGTGTGCTGTTGGGCAAAGCCGAGGTAGCGCCGACGGAAGCAGGGAGGTATTCTCATGGTTTGGTGCCTTGTGGGGGTGGTCTGGTATGATGGGGAAGGCCGACTAATGTGTGCGCTAGCGCAAGTCCTGTGTGTGATCGATGAAGCAGCATTCGCATGATTCCACAATGGATGTGCTGGATGTGACGAGGTTGTGCGGTGCCGCTGCCGGAGCACACGTTGGCAGCGACGGGTTCGGGCTAGCGGCTCAAATCCTACGTCTTTGTAACCTTCGGCGGCGCCTACCTGGCCTGGTCATCAAAGAGGAGGGCACTGATTAGGGGGCAACATGCTTTACTTACTCTCCATGTCTTGGCCAGGACGGCGAGATGGCGGCGTTGCCCCGGTTTAAGAATGATGTCCTTCCCATCCTTTCCCTATTTCGTCGGCGCGCTTAGCGCCGGTGAAGGGCGTGTGGAGGTGTGTCTCCGACGGATCTTCATGGATCTGGTCGATTTGGGTTTTCGCTGGATCCGTACGGATTCTGCCGGCACTTGTGGTCTCTGGATAAATTGTAGCCTCTTTTTGGTGTTTTCTTCTTCGAGGTAGCAATTTGCCATGCAAATCGTGGCCACGGGCATCTTCTGGTCCACATCGACAATTTTTTTGCCATTGCTTCTCCGAGCTCCTGGGTCTAAACAAAGTTGCTCTGCCGAAACGGATGCCCAGAGGCAGTAATGAATTTTGTTCGTGTTGCGCCATCGATGGATGTAAGAGGAAGAAGAATTTGACACCCTAAAGATTTGGGTGTATTTTTGTGTGTTTGTTAGGACATTTGACATGGTACTTAATATATGGCATTAGAGTAACAATAGTAGATTCGGCATATCGGTGATCGCCATCCGCCATATGGAGGGCTCTCCGTATGGATATGGAGGCTAGGCAGGCGATACACAAACTCAGAGTCTCCATATTTGATGTCTTCATATTCATGATACATATTCGTCAACACTCAACGGGACATCAATTTTTCCGCAACCTCTCCGTCATCTCATGTGAGGTGGGGTCACCCGAAGTTTCCTTCGCGCCACACGTAGTTGACATGCAAATGCCATATGGAGTGTGCTCGAAGAGCCAACCCGAATCACCATATATGAAGACTGGTAGGCCATATACGGAGGGCGCTCAGTATTTTTTGCCGATCTTGTGAGGTATGGCGACTTTGCTAGAGTGTCACTTATTTACCAAAATCGTCATAATAGCGATAGGTCCGATATAAAAACTCAGCTAGAGCTGTTCTTAAGCCTTTTCGGAAGAGAACAATATAACCAATTTTCACTTTTTGCTGAGGCATGTTTGAACACACAACACACATGCAAACGCCAAGCTCTTGATTTTTATTTACCAAAGTAATCATTTCCGTGTTTGGTCAGTTCAGTTGACCATCGGGTGTCTAGTTATTTCCCCCAATAAATTGAATCAAAATGGCTAGTACTCCCTCTGTCTCAAAATATAAAAACGTTTTTTATACTATGCTAGTGTAAAAAACGTTCTTATATTTTGAGACAGAGGGAATAATTGTTTTTTCTTTTACGAAAATGATCCGATCTAATATAAAAAGTTCACCAGAAGTACAAAGCACTTAAACATAATAAAAATTACATTAAGATTCCGAGACCACTAAGCTCGGTTATTTAAGCTAGAAACCAATTTAAGAGATGAAAATTTAAAATTAGTTAGTCTCTCCGAGTTTAGTCTCTCACATATGAATGAATAACCAGAAACCAATTTAAGCTCTTACCTACATGTGCGAGACTAAATGTCCAAATGCTAGTACGGTACATGTAATTGATGTTCATTCGAGCCGCCGCCGCCGCAAACTCCCTCCTCCTCTTCCTCCGCCGCCACTGGAGGACGCCGCCGGGCTAAGCCCGGGGACCGACGGCGTTGGCGAGGGATCTTCTCTCTCGCGCGTCTCCGGGGTGGGGCGGACCCCAAGGCGTGTGGTGGCGCGACCGATCTGGGATCTGCGGCGCGGCGGATGGCTGCAGGCGGCGGGAGGCCGGCCCGTCCTCGGACGGCGACGGCTTGGCGCGGTGGAGGCCAGGGCTGCGGGCGCTGCGGATGGCCCTTCGGGCGGCGGTGGCGGCTGCGGTCGGCGGCGGCCGGCTTGGCTGCGGTGGCGTGCATGCTGCCTTCAGATCGGCGACGACGGCGTGGAGGGCCTGGTGGTCTCGTCGGCGGCACCTCCGATCAGATCTGTTTTGACCGGTGCAACCGGCGGTGGTGGTCATCTCTTCCGTCAGAGGTGGTCGGCCTGAGGCTGGGTGTTCGGATCTCGGGATCCGTCATCTGGCACCAGCTGCGAGTCGGGGTGACGTAGTTGCCGGTGAAAACCGAGCCGACGACGGGCGATGGCGGTGTTCCACGTCGTTACCTTGATGAAGGCATCGTCATGTGACTACCGTCGACCTACACGTATTGCTCCGGGGAAAACCCTAGGATCTGATGTTCCAGACCGGACGATAGCGACACTGCGGTGTCATTTCTCTCTTGGGAGCATCGTTTTGTGGAATAGCGCTGGAAGTCAGAGGCAGGAGATGGAGCGGCTTCGTCTTACACGGAGCTTCGGTGGAGATGTCAAGTCATGCCTGACCGACAGGTGCTACACTTGGTCATGTCTGGTCGGCAGGTGCTACGCACGACAGATCCACTAAGGGCTTCAAGCTGTGTTGGCTGGTGGTATTCGGCAGTATGGCGCTGAGGTGTATCAGTGACGACCGCGATGTGTTCAGCTGTTTGCGCGCAGGGAGGAGGTGCCGTTGGACGCCATGGTGGCGTCGACGATAGCTGGACCGAGCAAGGTTGATGCATCAGTACAGTTCTGAAGATGGATTGGTGGCAGTTGGCGGCGGCGGCCTCTAAGAGCACGCTGGACCAGTGTATGCCCCAGACCCGGCAAGTGGCTAGGTTGGGGTCGCATGTCTTAGATGTTAGGCTTGGCTGCGATGTCTGTTTGGTATTAGGCCAAGGCTATCTGCGCTCCTTCATTAACTAGATAGGTGTAGCGACAGTTTGTTGCTTAGACGGCGACTTTAGTCTTACTGTTGTATGACTTTGTAAGGTCTTGTAAGAATAATTAATAAAGTGGCCGTATGCATCACCTAGATGCAGAGGCAGGGAGTCATCCTTCCTTTCTAAAAAAATTGATGTTCATTCTGAGTTTGAGAAACTGGTACGGCAGCGAAAGGAAGAGGGTCATCAGCCTACATTTTCGTTTGCATCACGCGATGGTGATCGATCGATGGATGTGCCTGCATCACGTGATGGGGATCGATCGATCGATGCGCCGGAGCTCGTGAGCCATGGATTCGTGTGGTCAACCTGTATCCGTGATCCATCTACTACTGTTCGGTAGCTGACTAGCTTACATCAAACAACAAATAAACAAAGTTTGGATGAAAGCATTGCGTGCATCCAAGCTTTGTAAATTCGGTGTATCACCTAAGCAAAAACATCCCAAAATGTCATGCCGGGAAAAAAAATAGACTAGCAAATCAGCAAAAATATGTTAGCATCTCTTCTTGATGTGGGCAATCACTTATCGAGCGGTTCAACTAGGCAATTGCACAGTATTCTGCACAAGTTCTTTTTGTACAACCGTAGGCTTTATCATGTTTAACATGGAGTGAGAAATAGCAATTCTTTGTTGACCGAGACATAGCAAAGCCATAGATAGATAAATGGATAGATGGACAACGTCGACGTATAAATGCATTGCCTAGCTTCTTTCATCAGATTGGTCTTTTGGTTGCATTGGCTAGAGCATGCACTTCAACATGGTATCAGAGCGAAGAGGTCTTGAGTTCAAGACCCGGCTGGCACAATTAAATTGCAGTCCACTTTCGGTCCACGTTTAGGCCTGAGGGAGCCACACGTGAGGGGGAGTGTCGACGTATAAATGTATTGCCTAGCCTCTTCCATCAGATTGGTCTTTTGGTTGCATTGGCTAGAGCATGCACTTCTACACACAAAAATCACGCGTTTATATTTTGTTAGTTGCTTAGCAAAAACAAGTTGTGTGGATGACTACTTTGCATATGTTGCGGTTTAGTCAACACAAATCTATAATACCTAAATAGT